TCAGAACGAGAAGGATGGGAGGTAATTGTGCAAGTAAGAGGGCATGAGAAGAGAGCTTTGATTGATAAGGGATACGGAAAGACTTTGGTACATAGTTTAGAGGGAGCTATTCCTAGTGAAGACTTGATGGTAAAATGTATACATGGAGATTCTAAGAAATATATGACTACGTGAGCAACAGTACAAATTGGGAAGGACAGCCGAAAAATGAAGATAGGGGTGTTCCGGGACTGTCTAGAGAAATGTTTTTGGGAAGAGACTGGGTGGGTACCAGTAACCTACTACAATGGAAAGTGCATGATCGAGAAATCGAAACTGACTTTTTGAAAGATGCCTCTAGGGAACAAATGAGACTATGGCAGCAAGATGACCCGACACTGCAGAAGGTATTACAAGAGACTCGTGAGGCTGGGACAACAAAGAAAGGGGAAATGGGGTTTGAATTAGAGGGGGGCCCCTGCTATATCACATGGATAAAGAAGGAGAAGACAATTGGTAGTCTCTTTGAAATGGAGAAAAGATATAATGGAAGTGGCACATGATAGTGAGGGATTGCCCCAAAAGATGGAAGAACCCGATCACAGTATGTCATATATAACATAGTTCTGACTGGGTACCAAGTGTGGTGTAGTGGACAGAGTGATTGATTAGGACTCAGGAGATCTGGGTTCAAATTCTGCTCAGCCATGGAAATTTACTGAGGTTGTGGAACTGTTAAAGTACTCCTTGAACATCTTACTCAAAAGTTTTATTAGGGTTACTGTTAGTCAGTTCCAACTTGATAGCATGTAATAACAATTCATGGACAATCAACTCAGCAGATCACCTCAGATGTGTTTGGGTCACTGGGCAAAAAGGGACAGAATCAGATTTTGATCAAGCTCAATCTCAAGGCTTCATTTAAGGACAGATGAGAAGTGGGGAGCTGACATATAAAGTCAGGGTGTTCAGATGATGCTTTGTGTTCTTTTCCATCAGCAGGGCAATAGGTAAGCATGAGAGACAGAATCTTTTCAGGTGTGGCATCTAGAATATGAAATGCCCTCTCTCTGGGTATCCTTCTTTAAATGCATTTCCTTTTCCTATGCATATTTTGTTTGCTCCTAATCCAGACATCTAAGTTCCACTTTGCCTTCAAAAATTATGTTTTTCTAGTCAAAATGTTAGTAGAAACCATTGATACTTCCTTGAGTAAAAAGGAAAAAAATGAGCTTTCGTTTTTAATTTACTTGGTTTTAGGAATTCTTGTTATTAACTTTGGAGTCAAAACAGAAGTGGCAATTAGTTCAGGACTTAATTCACCCAATTCATGGTTTTAATTGTTCTATGAATAATTTTATTGTGAGCCGCCCTGAGTAGACATAGTCTAGAAGGGTGGGATAAAAATCTAACAAAACAAACAAACAAACAAACTGATGTATTTGTTTCCATGGTGTTCGCTTGAGTCTCTCATTTAGTAGAAAGGTTTTTTCTGCATCTGCAGGATGTCTGGAGGAGTACAACTGAACAAATGCAGGCACAGCATAGTAGCTGTAGCTCTTTGATATTTGTTGAGTCATCTGAATATGTTGTATAATGTTCCTTCTTAGTGTTAGGGTAGCTAGAGAGGAACTTCCATGAAAGCCCGGGTTCTACAGCTTCTAATGTTCTGACTCAATTGTGTTGTGTAGCTTACATTTGATCTAGGATTTGTCCTTTATTTCTTTCAGTATCTTCTGGGTAGACAAGTTAATGAATGTTAAAGTGAAACAGGATTAAGTGACAATGAAAGCACCCATCTACTAATTGTTAATATACTATACTAGCTATATAATATAAACATCTATGTAGGAAAAGCTTTAATCTATCTGCCTACATAGCAGCCTTACACTCCAAATGCCAGACAAGTTCCACTTTCTTAGTATTACAGTGAGAATAACAAAGGCATCCCCATAGATATCATAGCTGCCAAGTTAGCACCCTTCCAGCATGACCCCTCCCCTGATATGATTTTGTGAACTGAAATATGGTTTCCTATGGCGGACAAATGGAACTGAGGGACGGTTAGGCTGGGCGTGCGCAGTAGGGGTAGTCCTAAACATTGTTACTTTTCTCTTGCAGCTAGAAAACGTTCCGAGAGGCCCAACGCTGGCGCTGGTATTAACCCTTTGTGTGAATTCACAGAATGACCACTTGAAGAACCATCGTTACAGGTAAGTAACCTTTCTTTTCACAAAGGACCAAGAAGTATACCAGATAGTAATCTCAATCAGAGCTTAATGCAGCACTTTGGGCTGTGTGAAAAAAGGACAAAGAAATTGTACCTGGGGCAACGTTTTGGGTTGGAACTTTTCCAGACAAATAACCTAAATACCTCTTTCTCTGTTTCTTTTATAGATAGTAGAAAAATCACTTTACATTTCAGTAGATTTTTAAAAGATGAGAATAGCAAGTGGATCAGTAACAGAATCTTGCCAATCATTCTGCTTTGAAAAACTAGTTGAAGCATTTAAAAAAGTATAATCCTTGCTTCTCCAAAGGTTCTTTCTTGAGATACTGTTATCAAGTAGCTCTTTAGCAATTTTCCTTACAAGAACATTATCGATTATGGATTGGTCTAATTATGAAATGTCTTTACAATAAAAATGTAACTAGAACACTGAGTTTCTTTACATAAAGAGTTTGGGGTATTCCATGGGAAACTGTGTTTTTTGCCTCCTTTTTATCTCCGCAATCCACCCTGATGGCCAAACAGTAATGATGGATTTTTATGAGTAACCCTGGGATCTCATAGCTTCCTTCCCAGAGACCACTTACCACTCTGTTCATCAGGAAATATGAGAAATTTTAACAATGTCTGTATTATATTGTATTGTGGCCTGATCCTTATGGAACAGGCTCCCCCAGGAGATCTGCCCAGCCCCTTCCTTGATTACATTCGAAAGGTTGCTGAAGACTGAGCTGTTCAAGGAAGTGTTCAGAGAGATCTTTGCCTGAGATGACAGTGGGATTTGGTTTCACTTCACACTACTACTTGTGTGGGGGCGCTGTGGGCTAAACCGCAGAAGCCTGTGCTGCAGGGTCAGAAGACCAAGCAGTCGTAAGATCGAATCCTTGCGGCAGAGTGAGCGCCCATCGCTTGTCCCAGCTCCCGCCAACCTAGCGGTTCGAAAGCATGTAAATGCGAGTAGATAAATAGGTACCGCCTCGGTGGGAAGGTAACAGCGTTCCGTGTCTAAAGTCGCACTGGCCATGTGACCACGGAAGATTGTCTTTGGACAAAACACTGGCTCCATGGCTTGGAAACGGGGATGAGCATCGCCCCCTAGATTCGAACACAACTGGACAAAAATTGGCAAGGGGAACCTTTACCTTTACCACACTACTTACATCATCAGTTGTTTTGGTTATTTTTAGCTCTCTTATTATCTAAATTTTAGTTGGTCTGTTTATGTCTTTATTGGGTTGTTGGGAATTAGCAGTGGATGTATTGTTTACATTTGTTGTTAACCGCCCTGAGTAGTACGTATAATCCACTAAATTGGGCAGTACGTATATAAATGGAATAAATAAATAATATGAAGTTGTGTAACATCAAGTCACTTCTGACTTTTGGCAACTCTACAAATTAGCAATTTCCAAAATACCATATTAATAATAACAGCCTCGCTCGGGTTTTCTAGATTCAGGGTTGTGTCATCCTTTATTGATTCAGTACAAGGAAAAGCTGTAAAAAAACTATTATTCTCCTTTCATTTTTATGGCTTATGTTTATGAACCCAAACCTAGATGGTTCTTGTGTCATAGGCACAGGACATTCTGTGTGAGTGTGAATGAGGAATGAGTCTTTGAACATGGCATCTGCCATCTACAAAGGCAGTGTATTTTAGTGAGTAGTGGTAGATTGGAATTTCAGAGACCTGGGTTCAGATCTATATTCAGCCATGGAAACTCACTGGGAGGCCGAGGGGATGGCAGTGGTCTGTGAACATCTGCCATACTTTTGAACTCAATTAAGGTCTTTGCAAGTCACATACACACACCTTTAAAGCATTTGTTGTGTTTTAAAAGGGTTGCTAGATTAATCTAATCTGCCTTTCCCCCACTCAGTTGGTAAATGTTTAATCAATCAGTCCAACCAATAAATGAGCCCGAAAAACTCACAACAATCACCAGAACATGGTTTGCTTCCTTGGGAAATTCTGTAAGCGGTCTGTTAATATATTGCCTCAGGAAATTGTTGCTTTTATGTGGAATTTGTCTGGGGCCCTTGGGCAGCACCGGCCACATCGCGCGACGTTGAGCATCCCAAGAAACCATTGCAGGGAAGCGAGAAGAGGCGATTGCATGGAAGCTAAACAGACCTTGCCAACGACGCCTTCCTAAAGTGGATCGGCTCTGTGAAGCTTTCCTTTCCTGGAGACGGGACCATTTGCCGGGTTCCTGTCACCTTTATATTCTCAGATATAACGATGCGTGTCTTTCCCTGCTGCTGCTTGTAACCTGCGCGACCCCACAGCTAGACTAACAGTGACGAGATAGACGGGGGCGCAAGTCAGTGGAGTTTCGTCGTCGCCCTCCTTTTCTAAGGTTAAAACTCGACATGGCTTGCTTTAGTTCTTTTTTTAAAAAGTTACAGCAAGATGCGTGGTAGGAAGTCCTACCACGCATCGTGTCACGCCTGTGCACCCCCCCACGCCCCATATTTATCCCTGAGAGGCCGGAATAATTCGCCTTTCCGGCTATGCAGTCATCTCTCTTCCCCTCACACTCTCGGGTCTGTAATTCCTTCGTCTTCCCCCGTGCAAGGAACGGCTGTCAGATTTTCTCGTCCCATCGATTATCTAGGGAAACCCCCTCCCCGTGGGTGTTGAAGTCTATGTATTCCGTGTCCTTCCCCCACTTGCTTCCCCTTCGCCTTCCGGATTCCCTCTCCTTTGTGCGGGGGCTTGCCGTCGCTGCTCTGATGATAATAACAATAATAATATTTTGGAGGGGGGGGAGAGAGGATGTAGACGTCAGGCGGAAGAGAAGCGGCCTCATCGCCTTTAAATGGTATTGCTTGTCATCTGAGCATGCTCCTGTGTGGGCAGGCGAAGGGTATATAATGGCTGGGACGCGGCACCGGGGAACTCAAGCAAGCGACACCAACCAGCTGGAGCAGCCTCGCCGAGCCAGGCGAAGGATTGGGGCGAGCTGCGTTTTTCTGCTGGGCTGGAGGTGGCCGCTGACTGACTGAAAGGGGATTTATTCTCCGCGCTGTTGACGCTAAGGCGCAACAGAGGCGACCTTCCTTCACACACACCCCCTCCGGCGGCTTTCCCGCGCTTTTCGGCGCCTTGGATCGTCCCTGAGGGGAAAAAAAACTCGACACCCCGAGGAGAAGTCGCAACAGCGAGACAAGCCGAGCAGCAGCTCCCTTCGTGTTGCCCTTGCTGCCGGGCGGTGACTTGTTGTTGTTGTCGCCCTCGTCTTCCTTGCCTCAAAAGCAAGCATGATGGCAGCCGCCGCCAAGCCCGCCGAGCTGATGGGCATCTGCTCGAGCTACCAGGCGGTCATGCCGCACTTCGTGTGCATCGCCGAGGAGTTCCCTCAGCCCATCCGGCCGGCCAAGTTGTCCAAGGGCAAGCTGCGCAGACCTCGCCAGTCCCGCTTCAAGACGCAGCCGGTCACTTTCGACGAGATCCAAGAGGTGGAAGAGGAAGGGGTCTCTCCGATGGAGGAGGAGAAAGCCAAGAAGTCCTTCCTGCAGTCCCTCGAGTGCCTCCGCCGCAGCACCCAGAACCTCAGCCTGCAGAAGGAGAAGAGGCTCAGCAGCTGCAGCCGCCTGAGGAACAGCCTCGACTCCAGCGACTCCGACTCGACCCTCTGAAGGGTCTGCAGGACTGGCAGAAAGCGAGCCGAGGGACGTGGCGCGGAGTATCGCTTTTTTTAAAAGACAAAAAACCCTGAAAGGGACCGTTTCCGAAGAGGCTTGGCTGCTGCTGACTGTGGTGATTTGGCTTTCCCCTTTTCCAATAAACGCCCACTGGGCTCTCGCCTCTTCATTTTGAACGGTGGAGCCGAATCTTTACGGACAGGAACTTGAAAGGATGTCATATGTCCATCCTCCTCCTCCGTTTTGCTTTATTTACGGGGGGGGGGGGAGCCTGATAAAAATCCAGTGTGACTGTGTTAAAAGTTGGAGAGCAGTTTGCAAATAACGTCAAAATCTTTTTAAAGGAAGTGCTTGTATGTATGTTTCTACCTTGGCTATTTTTTTTAAGAAAATGAAAATGCACATCTTTTTCTAGCTGTTAAGGGGAAATATATATTTACAGTACATATATATATATATTGAAATGTTTTATGGATGCAAACAGCTTCTGGACTTTATATTTATTTTTGCATTTAAACTCTTGACTATATTAATTTAATATGTTTCTACCTGAATGTCTGTAATTATTTACACAAGCAAGAAATAAAACTGATATATTTGCACAATGCATTCAAAGTGGCCGATACTGCAAACAGTATTTTTTGTGTTCTTTGGGGATAGAAATGGATTTGGGGGGAAGAGAAGGAAGGTACTGGTGAATGTGATACATTGTTTTGGAATTTAAAAAATTAAGTGTAGTTTGCTTTAAAATCAAATTTTGCATCAGAATGGGCATATTTTTCTTTTTAAAAAACCTTTGTAAACATGGTAAGAATTGGTTGAACTACCTTCAAATATACTTTCCAGGTCTAAAATTCTGTTATTTGAAATCTAAGCAGATATGCAGAGGGGCCAAATTCTGATACTGACAATGGCCTTTTAAAAGAGCCATCCTCCCATCTTTTGGTACATCAAATGATTTAAAATTGAGACTGGATACAGTGCTGATGTTTGTTACACAATATATACAAGGCATTTTCTTTGCATCCCTATAAAAGCTAAGAAGGTAGCCTACACTACTGCCTTGCTGCATATAGTCATGCAAACACAATTTTTTTACATTTAATTGCTTTATTTTTGTAGATTAAATTCAATTGTAAAATGCTAAGATTCCCAAGAACTACTATACCCACTTTCTTAGGCTTCAGTATACTGTATCCACGAGCTCTTCTGGTTATCTTCACGTGTGTACAGGCTCACATTGCACTACCAGCTATCCATTGTTATTCTATCCAGATTTACTGTTCAAGGCTCAGCACTGTAGTTTTGTATAGCAAAGGACTTGTAGATTGCATTACTCGTGGTAAGAACTTTCCAACTCTGTATGGATAGAAATGGAATTGATCCTTTAAAGGGATAACCAGATTCTGCATATGGAGATTTGGGCATACCAGTGCCGGAGTGCACTTTGCTTACTAGCTAATGATCAGTGATGGGTTTCAGTACTGTAGTTAAAATTTGGGACTACAAATAATATGTGTTAGGAATACAAGACATTTGAAAAGCTTGAATATATAGGACCGTTCAGGAGTTTTTGGTTCAAAAGAAAATGTGCTAAAACTGGAATAGCATTAAACACTGTAGATTAGAACAGAGGCAATTGAAGGAAGCCTCATTGTCTAATGCTGCTTATCAATGTTGAAGAGCATTAGCAAAACAGTGTTTGGACTATAGCTGTCACAATATTTTTCCAATAAAAATCAAAATGTAAGAAAGTCTTTCATGCTGCATCATGCAGAAAAGTTTCATTGATAATCTAACAAGTAAAGAAATAAGATTCAGCAAGATCATCCTGTAAAAGAGCCAGACCTCTTCATCATAACACAATGAAGTGTATTTTGTGTGTGTGCATAAACATGCATATTTACGTACAGGTAGACAAACAGACTCAGCGAAAGATTCCATTTTATATTAGAAGGTAGTCTTTAACCTGAATACAAATAGTCCCATGTCAAAGTTCATGAAAAATTAATCATTTACTATTCACCTAGATGAGTTTTTTCTCCTTAACAAATTCCTATCACTACTTTACTGCAGCATATTGATGTGGATGGAAATCTGGGATTGATTTAAACATGGTAACATAATTGTGGTAGGAGACCAACCATTTATAAACATTGGGATAAATTCATTAAAAATTCCTTGCCTGAAGAAGTGGTTTGTAATCCATGAAAACTTACACTGAAATAAATTTGTTACAGCCATTCCAGATGGGGCCTAAACTTTGTCCCAGTTGATCTCTTAGGCACAAAGGAGATTGGCGTTTACCAGCATTTGCATCCATACTATACCATAGAAGGCCATCATCACTTCTCTTAACTAACAGCCTTTCCAAGCTTGTGTTCCTTGTAGCAATAGTTGGAGAAAAAGTAATGGGGATCAAAATGAGTAAAGGGAGCCAGGATGGAAATTACTTCTTTCAGACATCCCTCTTATCTTTTTAGTGAACAAGGGGATGCTACAGAAGCAGGGAGGGGGTGCTGTTAGAATTCCTTCTTTAAAAACAGTTCCTTTAAAAACCCAACTTTTTTGAAGCTTGTACTAGAAAGCAGTTGATAAATTCCAACTGAAGGGATGATTGGAAAGTCCTAAACTGCCCTCCCTCAACAAACTGAAATAAACCATGCCTTGTTAAACGAACAAACAAACAAATAGACAGAAAGTCATAGATTTTGTCACCGATTGCAATGAGGCAATCATTTATGTCATTTGGATGGTGGGGGGAAAACTGTTAACATCACTATCACTACAACTCAATCAGAAAATGGAGAACACAAGCTCTCTATATGGACAAGTCCTTAGATTTAAATACATGCCATTGGATGTTTGCCAAAGCCAACACACCTCTTCCTGCGTAAGGGAAATTCTATTGTTAATAGCCAATTGCCTCTCATTAAAAACTTGCTTTCTAGACTTTAGGTATATATGCCTCACATACAATGTGAAATCACATGCACCCCAAAAGTGAAAAAGGAAGTCTCTAATCAGTGGCAGTCTGATAATGATGTCATTATTGTTACAAAGGTGGAACCCAAAAGGATTTCAGACTTTGTTTTTACAGTATTTTTATTATACCTTATGTTTATTTAACATGCAGAAACAAATGAACATGGCTACCTTTTTGAAAATTGGTGCTTCAAGTGAAGCCACTCTGCAGATTTTTGAAAGCCTAAGTAAAAAATTGAAGTTCATTATACAAAAAGTTGGCTCAGGAAGCATCTCTGCATAAATGGAAAAAAACAACAACACCTCCCCTTCTTTTGCTTTCTATTCTGCTTTCCAAGCAGGCATTAAAAGGAAACTGTTTACCTGCATGCTTTTCACTGCTGTGTTTGAATATTTCTAGCCTACAATGCCATCAGAAATTGGGTAAGAAAAGCTGCACTGTCAGCCTGCAGACAGAACTCAGCTGTAGGCAGTGACATCCGTTGCAGGCAGAGAATTCACATTTGCTTTATACTTCCAAGAATTGAATTAGGAACTAATCTCACACAGAGAGAGAACATTATTATTATTGCTCCACGATAGCATCTCTTCCAAATAAACAGAAAGAAATTATTTAGTGGAATATATCAAGTAATTGAAATGAATGCAAATGCATTTTTTCACGTTTCTTTGAAAAGAAAAACAGCCGTGGCATTAAAACTTCCATTTGATCTTCTATCTTCCATAAAATGATTCAGTATCTCTTCCTGAAGAATTTTTCTGCGCTTTTGAGTATCTACACAATGTGGAAAATTTAGCAGATATCACTTTTCCTGTTATTTCAGCATTGTGGGGAAAATATTTAGGTTTTCCCTACCATGAAACTAAAGATTCAGGGAGCCTATTTGAGTCAGAGGTTCACGACCCTATGACCCAGATAAGCAACTTAACAGAAATGAAATCATTTGTATTTGTTTATACCTCACCTTTCTCCCAGTGCTCACAGCAAAATCAAGACAGATACTGTCACATACAGCACTGATGGTACACTGAGGCTCAAAGCAGCTCACAGCAAAATCAAGACAGATACAAATAAAACAGTTAAAACCAGACACAGGTAAAGACATTACATGGTTAACACATTTAAACAAGTTTAAGCTTGTTACTTAAACTAACAAGTACCGAATTAAAAGTAATTCTTTAAAAAATGATTCAGTCACCACCACCACCTCAAGCTGTTAAAAGGCCTTTCTTAAAAGCAAAAAGAAACAAACAAAAATTGCATAAAACCTGACAAAATAAAAAAAGTCTCTGCTTGGAAGCAGAAGGGCAACAGGGAGGAGGTGAGTTTAATTTATCTTAGAAGGTACTTTCACAGCCTGGGAACAACCGCTACAAAGACTACTGAGGTAGCTAAAGAATAGGGGTACCATCTTAAAATGATTCTCTCTCCCTCCCTCTCTTTTGGTTTCAAAATTATTGAACTTCATCTCTAAATTAAAATACTGTGTTTAGTATATTTTCTGTAGTAGTTTTATCAATATTATGGCCAACTGCTCACTTAATAAAATAATTCCTTCAAGGATCTTTTTCAAATTTTGTTCTAACTTAAGATGACCCTATAAATTACTGATATCATGAAAGGATCTGATGATGTTAAGGAGTCGAGGTGGACATCCAATCTTGGGAAGCATTTTAAAAAGGTCATCCCTGCTAACCAAGTCAAAGGTCTTTGTAAGATCTATGAAGGCCACAAAGAGTGGCTGTCATCGTTCCCTACATTTCTCCTGGAACTGTCTGAGGAAAAATACCATGTGGATCTATTAGCTCGAAATCCACACTGTGATTCTGGATAGACTCTGTTTCCAAGCACCTGGAGACTCTTCAGCATGTCACGGGCAAGCAGCTTCCCTACAACACTGAGCCTGGAGACTCTTCAGCATGCATCCTTCATGTCCTGTGGTACTCCACCTCCCCTCCAGCAAAGAAAAAAGATTTCATACAGCTCAGTGATGATGGTCTCTTTATAGCACTTCAGCACTTCAAAAGGGATGTTATCCTTCCCTGGTACTTTCCTGGAAGTGAGGGAATCCAAGGCCCCTTTTATGTCTGCTATAGTTGGTTCGCTGTCCGACTCTTCCAAGACAGGCAGGCACTTGATTTTATTTAATGCCTCTTCGGTTATTACATTCTCTCTACAATATAGCTCAGAGTAGCGCTGCACCCAGTGTTCCATCTCCTGTGCTCGTTCCTGGAAGAAATCAAATTTACAGACAACACAAAATTGGGTGGACTAGCTAATACCCTGGAAGACAAAAACAAAATTCAAAAGGATCTGGATAAGCTTGAGCATGGGGCTGAAAACAACAGAATGAAACTTAATAGGGATAAGTGCAAAGTACTGTAGCTAGGAAAAAGAAACCAATTGCACAGTTACAAGACGGGGAATACCTAGCTCAGCAATACTACAAGTGAGAAGGATTTTGGAATCATTGTGGATCACAAGCTGAATATGAGCCAACAGTGTGATGTGGCTACAAAAAAGTTGCATGCTATTTTAGATTTTTTTAAATTTTCTATAACATAAACAAAAACATATACATATAACATATAAACTCAAATACAATAACTGTGTTCCCCACCACCATGTACAGGACCTCTTGCCATATTCTTCTTCTTCTTCTTCCTCCTCCTCCTCCTCCTCTCCAAAACTGCATTGATTCATGATTTGGAGCTTTCCCTTTCCCCCTTATCCACACATATTCCAAAACTTTACCCCATATTTCATAAAAAAATATTCTTTTCCAACTCTCCTTTCTTAATCTTTAAATTACAAGTTAATTGATCATTTATTGCTATATTCCATATTTCTTTGTACCATTCTTCGATTTGCAATTCAGCTTTTAATTTCCATTGCCAAGCAATAATCAGTCTAGCTATTTTAGGCTGCATTAACAGAAGTATAGTCTCTATGTCCTGCGAGGTACTAGTTCCCCTCTATTCAGCAGTGATTTGGCCTCACCAAGAAGGATGTTACCAAATAGGAAAAAGTTCAATGGAGGGCAACAAGGATGATCAGGGAGCTGGAAACCATGCCCTATGAGGAAAGCCTGAAAGAACTTGGTCATGCAGAGGAGGGGCAGGATCTGTTCTCGATCATCCCAGAGTGCAGGACACACAACAGTGAGTTCAAGCTACAGGAACCCTGATATTTCAGTTGAATGTCAGAAAAAAACTTCATAACTGTTAGAGCAGTGCGGCAATGGAACCAATTATCTTGAGAGGCGGGGAGTGCTCCAACACTGGAGGCATTCAGAAGAAATTTAGACAACCACCTTGCAGATATCCTTTGATTTGTATTCCTGCATTGAGCAGGGGGTTGAGCTTGATGGTCTTATAGGCCTTTTCCAACTACATTATTCTATGATTCTATGATTCATTCATATATTTACTCATTCATTCATTCAAAATATTTTACCTCACCTTTCTCCTTAAAAAAGACAATACTTAAAGCTGAAAACAATGAGTATACAATGGTGATTTACACCATGTCGTCTCATGATGTCGCTTAATTATAGTAATCTCAATTTAATCATTTTTTATTCTAGGGAAACTTTAAGCTTGAATTGATCTAACACCCACTTATTGGTGGTCCATGAGATCCATAAAACTTCAATCCAACACCATATAGAGTGGTCGAAATGACCAGATAGGCAGGGTATAAATTGAATGAATGAATGAATGAATGAATGAATGAATGAATGAATGAATGAATGAATGAATGAATCAATCAATCAATCAATCAATCAATCAATCAATCAATCAATCAATCAATCAATCAATATTTCAAATGAATAAATTGATTTCCTGTTGTCTTTCTTCAACATCCAGTTTTCTCATCCATATGTAGTAATTGAAAGTATCATAGTATAGATAATCTTCACCCTGGTTTCCATTGGCAAATCCTTACTCTTGAGGATCTTTTCTTCTTCCTTCATAGTTGCTCTCAGAGCCTCATTCTGTTTCTGATTTCTTATCTGGAGTAATGGATCGAGCAGAGAGAAGTAGATTAAGCACTTATTAAAAAAAATGCAGAAGCTAAAGTATAATAAAAGATATGCACTCCAGTGCTGCAGAGCCAGAGATTACACTTATTTTAGAACCTTTTTTAAAAAAACAAACAAAAAACCAAGGAAATATCTTATAAAATGTTTTGCCCTAGATAATGAGACCATATTGGTGGTGTTTGCTAAGTTTCCCCCCCCTAAGGGCTCCATGAAAACTCATGCACGTGGTTGGAAAATGAAGACAGTTTTTAAGGAAGCATCATTAATCTTAGAACTGCAGAGCTGGAAGGAACCCAATGGATCATTGAGTCCATCCCCAAGGAGGCTCAGTGGGGAATCAAACTCACAAGCATACCTAACCCACTTCCCCCTCATGAATCAAGAAAGGGCCATTATTGAGTAACCCACACAGTAGCCTTTGTGGAGAGAATGACATTCTGGGAATAACAATATATGAAAAATTCCAACTCTCAAACATACTGTAGTTGATTTTTTAAAGAAAATGTTTCTATGTTCAGTGAATAAATGAGGAAGAGCTGGCCACTCTGCATTTAGGAAGCTCTCTGGAGGTGCCTGTGGCGGAACCCCCACGGCATGCCTGTCCATCATGGGGAGCTCAAGGGCAGGAGCCTATGAGAAGACAGGAGGGGCGGAACCAGAAGAAGAGTTAGAGAGTTAGTTAGAGAGGAGAGTTGGAGAAAAAGAAATTTGAGATAGGGAATTGAAGAGAGAGAGCTGGGAGTTTGATTTGAGAAAGATGACAGAGATTTGAAAGTTGGAGGGCTAGAAATAATAGGAAAGAGTTCAAATGCATAGTGAATAAATAGACAGTCAGAGAATATTGCAACAGTGAAGAAATACACATACAAACCAATGTAAAAGCAGAGGAGAGTTGGAGAAAAAGAAATTTGAGATAGGGAATTGAAGAGAGAGAGCTGGGAGTTTGATTTGAGAAAGATGACAGAGATTTGAAAGTTGGAGGGCTAGAAATAATAGGAAAGAGTTCAAATGCATAGTGAATAAATAGACAGTCAGAGAATATTGCAACAGTGAAGAAATACACATACAAACCAATGTAAAAGCAAATATATACCAATATATTTGGTAAGGGAATAATACCTGGTGGCAGCGTGAAGAGAGGAAACACATCCAGAGGGTGGACTTGTGTTTAGAGGGAAAATAAACAAAGGATACTGGGTGGACGCGACAGTGCCCTTTCTTGCTACTTGACATAAAGTTAAGGTCATTTTCCAATCTTAATTGTCAAAGCTGGAGGCAGATAATGGACAGAGATAGGGGATGCCTTGCCCCAAAATTTCAGTGGGAAGTGCCACTCTCCCAGTTGCAAGCTGCTCTGCCTAGTATCCTGAAATCCTGTTGCTGAGTGTTGTAATTCTAGAGTAGAATGACTGAATCATTGGGGGTTTCGCAAGTCAGCTCCTGTATAAGTTTCACTGACATAAATCACAAGTAGAGTAGGCCCATTTGAATCAAATGAAGCTACTGAGGGGTTGACACACCAGATTCCCATTGATTCAATGGAATTACTCTAGTATAACTTACTACATTGAGCAATGTGGTTTCAGCGAATGTCTCAGTCATCATAGTGGAAGTTATTATAATTTTTCTCCTTCCCTCACCAAGGATTCAAATCAAACAAAGTACCATATTTTTCAGTGTATAAGATGCCCCCATGTATAAGACGCCCCCCGTTTTTAATCCAAAATTAAGAAATTTAAGTGGGGCTTAGCAAGTGTAGGGGGAAAGGGATCAAAGCGCTGCAGGATTGCTCTGATCCCTGCTTTCCCCTCCACTTGTTTTGTTCTCTCCTCAGCTTACTTCCGTGTATAAGACAACCCTCAATTTTTAGTCTAAAGAGTTTAGACAAAAGTATAGTCTTATACACGGAAAAATACGGTATATAAATAAGAAAACGCATGACATTGAGTAACTGTAACATGTAATCATCCCCCAATGCTCCATTTTGATTGGTGGCAGCTCCTTAATCCATCTCATTGGCACCTCTAAAGGTCTGTTGCATAATTAGTCACTGAAAATCCTTAAAAACCAGCCCAGCACCTGCCTGCCTATTTCTGCTCCATTCTACTATTCTTCTAAGACACTCATGCTGCTTGACATGCAAAGTATGCATTTTATCACCAAGCCCTGGCTACCATTATCCCTGAATACTGATGAAGTATGGATACAGAGAGAGAAAGGGATCTTTTCTTTCTCTCCCTACACTATGCACACTATAGCAACACCTTAGTATGTTAATCTGATTAGGCACACTAGTACATTTGTGCTGGAAAAATATGTAAATTGTATTCCTATAATATGAACATTTGTATATTTTCAAAAGATGTTCAGCACATTCACAGTGTTAATATGTCCCTAAAACCACTGAGCTCCTAAAACCTCACTGTACAAGTCTTATACTGTAAGGCAGGGGTAGACAACCTGTCCCCCCCCCATCTGTTGTTGAACTGAAACTCACAACACTCCGAGCCAGAACTGTCACTGATAAGGGAGTCCTAGGAACTCTGGCCCAGCAACTGTGCCTGACATTCCCACTGCTGTATGATACCAGCAGTACACTGAAGGTATTTAATTATAATTCATCTCCAATCTCAAAGGTCAAAGGACATCGATTCACAAAGAAGAAACCAACAAGCCTCATTGCACATTGCCACACATTATTATTCACTCTTAAATGCTTAACAACAATGAAAATATGCTCATTTTGGGTGAATACTTTGGGAGTACTGGTAAATTTTCATGCAATATGTAGTGAAATTGTGTGGTATTATAAACCTAATTGTTTTCCTATAACTTTGATCTCTGTTCTTTCTTCCTCCTCATTTGTCTTTCAGGCAAGAGTTAGCTGAAAAGATTTAGGAGGCATCTATTTTACATAATTTTTAAAAATACTTTGTGTCCTGAAAGTGCTATATTAATTCAGATACAATACTGGATAAGCTATGGAAAAGTACAAGATCATTTATACATCTTGGATGTAGTCTGTGGTTGCAAGCTGTTTTCCCCTCATAGTTCTGAGCCATTAGACAGATCAATAAACTGAGAGCAATAGATGAGATAGTCTTCTTATGTGATGGCAAAACTCCATTTAAATAAACTGATGTGTGCTGCTTTAGAAGTTTCAAAGCTTTCAAGTATTAGCTTGAACCTATAGTGATCCTTTCAGGCAATCAGGTATTTGACAACTATGTCACATGAAGATACCTGGAGGAATGATACCTTGAGAACATAAGTATCATTCCTCTAAGAAATTCTTCTGTTTCAAAAGCAACACCATTTCCCTCATGTATAAACTACATAATGTATTATTATTAGAACCAAACAGTCCCAATTAGTAGGCCATTGTGATTTGGAGTATTGCTTTAAATTTAAATGATGATTGTATGAACATCTTTTAAAAAACCACAAAAAACCCACCACATTTTATTAGTTTTTCAATCTATCTACATTCAATTTGTGCTTGTTAAGCATCATGTTACATGAGTTGCTTATAATAATTTTTTTTTGCATCTTGTCTTTTTGGTTGTCTCTTCAAAATCTATACATTTTTTAAGCATTTAAACCATTCATGTGTGTATTTTAGTATACAATATTGGCTACTATCATAATATTGCTCTCAGAGTATACAATGTTCTCAAAATCCTCTAGAAACATACCTAATAGAAGTAATTCTGGTTCCAAATCTATATAATTTTGAGGTGATTTAACTGACAAACTTTGTATTTTATACCAATAATAACTGAGTAGGTTCCTAACAAATAATAGATGTTATCAAAAGCATTTTATACAGATTTTATCTATGTAATTGTTTAGCCATTTCTATCTCCACATTTTCTATCGTGTCTCTATCAATATCATATCTAATATATGTTCATTAAGTACTATTTGTTTTGTCCCGTCATTATATCTAGCTTCAATTTACTGTGTTATGCATTTACCCTGATTAATAATCCCTTATTTCAGTTTAATTCCCCCTTTTAATATATAAGATATGCCCCTTTACAATTCCAGAAGTTAAGTATATATAGGCTTTCAATGTTGAGGGCCACCTTAATATTTTTCCCTTTTTCATCTTTCTAAGTAGCTCCTTCTCTTATTTGTCTTTTCCAATTCTTGTTTCTATCTCTCTAAACATTCTACCGTCCCTTGTGTCATCTGAAAACATTTTATACACTTGATCTATCTCCAATAGCTCTTCCAGGCTATTTTTTAATTAATTCTGCTGGTTTTTCCTCTTATCTTCCCTTAACACAGCTAAAATTCTCATCGGCTCTAGGGTTAGAATTAAATCTCCTAATTTGTCCCCTCTAATTTCCACCAGCCCTTCTTTTGGTTGGCATACATCATCCACCACCCTCACATTTCCTTGTTCATTATTCCCTGTCTCCTGTTGAATATAATCCTTTAGTTGCTCCTTGAATGATTTCATCTCTTTGTTATGGGATCTCACTATTTTTAAGATTGCTTGAAGGGCAGATTTTGTTTCATCCCAAAATTTCTCTTGTTGTAGCATTATGTCACTAGATGCCAAGTACTTGTATTTCAAGTAAAAGATGTCCAGTAGCTTAGAGCAGTCAGTCCAGTGCCATCAATAATGGCTTCAATAAGTCCACTTTATTAAATTGATCACCTTTAGGGTTAATTTGAATCCAGTCTCTGATGTAAGTTGACAGCCCCATTCACTCGATGTTTGTATTAGACTTTCCAAAGTCTAATAATTGTATTAGACTTTCCAAAATCTAAAAAAGACATAATTGTCTATGTTTTAGTCAGTTCTCAGAAAAAAAGGAAAGTCAAAACAGAGTTTCAAGTTTGAGTATTCAAGGTCATGTTCTGGGCTTTTTGCCAACACTGTAGATAGCCATAACAGTTTAACTCCCAGTGTTGTTTGGCTAAAATAATTTTAAGAGGAAAATTTCTTAAGTTTAATG